ACTTAGATGCTCAGATGGTATTAAGGTACTGAAATGGGGACACCTTTAGCCAATAGAGAATTCTTCTGGTGGGGAAAAGTTACCTTCTGTTACAAAGCTGGATATTGTTCTATCTGTCCTGCTAGGCAGGTGTGAGTGGTGGGCCTTGTTTTCTGTTGAGTCAGGTGAAGGCTTGTTGATAAAGAGTACTGAATTCCTGCAATTTTTGTATCCAGAAGTGGGGTAAAGAGGTGAACACAGCTACAAATTACTGTTTCTGGGAAAAGTAACCTCAAAGGATGTGTGATAAAATTGCCTTATTTTCATTGATCCCAAACTTCTAATCCTTCTAGTTTAAAAGAAAAAAAATAGGGGCAATATTTACTGTCTTAATTTACTAACGCTAATCTTTTGCCCCTTTCTGATGTTGTCCGTCCAGCAGTCTTTCCCTCTCTTATTGTTGCTGCTGTTGTCAGGGGATCATGAGCAGTCCAGCCATTACAGGGGAAGAGCAAAAGATGAAAGGCTGAAGAACTGGAGAAACTTGTAACATTAACCCAACATCACTGCCTGAGGGAGATAACACTAATGGGTAAAAACCTGAAGCACCATCTCAACTTGGTCTAAATCTGCGTCTTTACATCCAGTGTCACTGAAATTGGAGTGGGGACAGTTACAGGCACGTGAATGGTAACAACGTTGTTAGTGATACACAGCAGTGGGTTTATGAAACAGGAGTACAGCAGACAATAACCTTTCTTAATGCAATTAGATAATTAGCAGGCAAAAGGAACGCAGTAGATAGACTGTCTCTGGACCATGCATGGGCTTTTGACACAAATCTGTGCAAGATCTTATTAGGGAAATTAGATCAAATTGGGTTTGATACAAATCCTGTGAAATGAATCATGGATTAGCTGACAGAGTGTAAACAGAAGGGTTAGAGACATTCTTTATCCTTCTGCAAAGGTGGTGTCCAAAAGGACAGTATTTTGGTTTTAAATATTCATTAGTGACCTGGAGGAAAATGTAAAAGGCATAGTTCTCAAATTTCCAGTTGACAGAACTGAAAGATACTAGAAAAAAAATCAGAGTAGAAAAAAGAAGAGCTAGGCTAATAAAATGAGCATTATTAACTTGCTTTGGTAAAACAAGTGGCAATTAGCAGTGTGTGGTTTAAAGATGATACTGGATCTACTTTGAAACAAAGAGAATGTCCAAATTTCATGTTGTGCAGAGCACGGTGGCAAAAGCAGCTTGTGTTCAGAGAGGTCCCATTGAGACGGTGGCTATCAGATGATGTGAGCTGGTGTGCAACCCGGTGTCTGGCAAAGCTACTGCTCAGTTGGTCCGTATGTCTGCCCGGCTGTGTGCTTTCCAGAGTGACTCTCCACTGTCGTGCTGTGGCATCGCACTGTGCAATTCAGGGCACCTTGCTGCAAGAGAGACCCAGGCAAGTTGGAACAAATCCAGAGAAGGGCCACAAAGATGCTAAAGGGATTAGAGGGAATGACCTATGGTGAGGAAAGGTGAAAAGAACGAAATGTTTAGAACCTCTAAGCCTGTTACATGGGCACAGAAATAGTAACGGAGTTTCCTGTGCCAGCACGGAGGAGAGTTGGATCAAGTCTCTCTCCTTTTACATTCCTATTAAGGTAACTAGAGCTGAGCAAAATGGCTGTTCATCACTTTGAACTCTTTGCAAAAAACATTTAGCTGTTGTTCTTCAAGTTCAAGATGTTGTATTTCAGTGCCAGGGGACACTGAGTCTGTTTAAAAATTGCCACAGGATCTTCATGAGACTCGCAGAAAGTCAGAGCTGGTGAGGCTTAACTCAGTGTGTGCTGCCCAGCCGTAATCAACCATGCAAGTTGTTCCAGGGACCCAAAAAGAAATAAACAAGCCCTGGAATGGCTGGAGCCACCTGAGCTGTGATCTCTCTTGGTGTTAAGGACTTTTTCCCCTAAAGCATGCATTCCCATGTAATCAGAACTTGCTATGTATTGCTGTCTCCTGGAAGGGAGCAGGACCATCCTCAGCTGCAAGAATGTAGGGGGGTTGTTGCTGTCCTTGATTCGCCATTAGACAGTCACAGTCTTCCGGCCCTGGGGAGGAAGGCTCCTCAACTGAGGTTGTGTGTTAAGACATGAGTTAGTCCTAGGAGACTGATCCCACACTTTGTTTTTTTCAGTGGAAGGAAATACCTCAGTGGGTCCTTTTGAGGTCCTTTGTGAATTTGGGGCTTTTTTAAGAGGCAGAAGCTGGCATGTGGACTTTGCGGACTGAATCTGACAGTACAGCTCACCTCCTTGTATTGCCTTTTTCATAGTCTTGTCCTCTGTTTGCCCTTAACATTACAACCTCAACTCTTGTTACTGTGGCGTTCCTCAGTGTCGAACAGTGTTTTGTGGTGCTTTTACCTTATATTTTGATGTTAATCTCATGTTATGAGATTATGATCTTCAGATTTTTACTACAAACACACTTCTGGATAGAGAAATGTTCTAGAATCTGGCCAGCACAGCAGCTTTCGGCTTTGCTGTGAGATGTGAAGATCTGATCTCGGCTAGCAAGGCTTCATCTTCCTCCACGCAGTCAGCTGGTGTTATACGAGGAGATCTGTAATCTGTCTAGGTGCCCTGTAACTATTCAATGGCCTCTAGTCCAGTGTGACCCTCTGAGCAAAGCCTGGGCATTCATCAACTCATCATGCTGTCTCTTAGAGGGACCAAACTCTGGATTCCTCTCAAGTAACACCAGGCAAAGCAGCTGAGGAACGTGAGATGCCTGCCCATATTCTCAAGGTCAACAGTCTTGCCAAATAACAAACTTGCCTGATCGATCCCAGAGACAGGAGATGAGGTCAAACATCGAGGATGAAACAGTGAAGGGAAAATTAGGAGATACTTGGTTTAAGTGAGATCATAAGGATGCAGGACTGTGAAGTTCCTGCACATCAAACGTGCATTCATATCAGCAGACACACAGATGTGATATGTATACATGTGTACTCCAGCCTTGCTGTGTCACAAAATATTTTGTCCTGTCCCTTGACAGGTTTGACCTCCTGGCAGAAGGAGTTGCCACAAATACCAGGTAAATAGGCTGAAACTGAAATAGTAATAGAATTTACCCACATGACCATGGCATGGTAATTTTAAACCAGCAGAGCTTCCAAGAAGAAAAGTCAAGTGTCCCCAGTCAGTCAGAATTCTTTGGACATGCTGTCAGGAAAATGCATGTATTTAGGTTTCCTTAAAAGCCTTTGACAAATTATCTTGCTGAAAGGAAAGTTTAACCTCTCAGGTTAATACTATTATCAATTAAAAAGCGTCTGAGACATAAAAGAAAGGGTAGACATACTCTACCCAGAAAAGAAAGATAAGTGAATTTTCAGCATGATGAAGGTTAACATGAATCACCCGCAAAGATCAGTGTTATGGTGTTTGATCCATATGTTAATGATCTGGGAAGTGGGTGAACAATGAGACTCTGCAGATAACATCAACTTACCAAGGAAGACTGAAGAACTCCAGAGGATCCTAACAGAGCTGGGTGCGTGAACAGCACAGCAGTAGATGAAATACACTGTTGACTATTGCAAAACTTTGCACACCAGAAGGCATTAATTTGATGTTTCATACATCTTAATGGATTCTAAATTAACTGTAGGAACTCAAAAAAAGATCTGAGGACTGCAGTAAGTAACTTACTGATATTGACTGTTGAAGAAATGCTAACAATTTAGATTTTAACTTAAAAAAAGTAAATAGTGTAAGGAGTTATATAATAAGTAGGCTGAAAATAACACTGAAAATATGGTAACATAAGTAAGCAATTGATGATGTGCCTTTGTCTTGACTACTGTCCAGACCTTCAGCTGGAAAAGTGATGGAACGATGCCAGTTTCATGCTGCTGAGGAGCTGGCTCACTGAACTCTGTTCTGGACTGAACAGAAATAGCCAGACTAGAGGAAGTTCAGAGATGGATGGTGAAGCAGATAAAAGGTCTGCAAAAACTTCTGCGTGAAGAACAATTATATAGATAATGAAGAGATGAATGAGGAGAACATGGCAAAAGCACATTTCCTGAAAAGGAAAGTCACATGTTCAGGGAGCCCGAAAGGCTGCAAATACAGTATAGGCAAATCAAAGTGGGATTTTTTTGTTTGTTCATACACTACACAAGTAATTCATGGAACTCATTGCAATAAGATATCATAAAAAATAGCAGTGGTCTAAAAAAAGACTGAACATTTACATAAGGAGTAAGACTATTTGTGACTGAAATAAATACGAAAAGCTTGCGAATTTGGTAAAGTTGCAGTCCTTTCTATATATTTAAGAGCATAGCCCTTTCTCTAAGTAATAGGAATTTGAAAGAAGTATTTCCATGCAAAACCCCTATACTAGTAAGTAGAAGAAAGATTAAGATTTAAGATTAAACTGGAGGAAACTTTTAATCAGATGATTTTCCTTCAGTTTCTAAGCTCGCCTTTTAGTGATGATAGTGAAGCAGGGGGAGGAATTAATTCAACATGGCAATTAATCAAAGACTTCTATATTACAAAGAAAAATGCAGTCTGTGCAGGCCCTTTTTGCAGGGTCTGCTAGTGAACTTTTAGCTTAGAGCCAGAGCAGCACATCCTGAACTAACCAAATATCTTTTTAACCTGGCCTGCCACAGGCTCATTTCTTCCTGTTGTCCCAAGGGGCAGATTGTGCCTCGTGAGCACTGATGCCATTTCCCAACACTGCAGCCTGTGAACAGCCTGAAATTATGATCTACACAAATAGCTGTGTCTTTATTCTAGTGTGAGTTTGTGGGGAGTAAGCAGGCTCTTAGTGAATTGTACTGATATTCCTGATGGAGAAAGACCTGGATGGCATTGAACTGCCTGAGCCAGCTGGAGTTGGACTGAGGTGGGAAAAGGAGGGCTCTCTTTCGAACATCCTGGAGCTGGGTTTGGCCAGGAAGCCGCTCAGTGCTTTTGCTCTCTCCCCACAGGCTGCTCGGCAGAATGGCCACGGAGGAGCGGCACCTCTCCTCCAGCTGTGGGTCCTTCATCAAGACCGAGCCCTCCAGCCCATCTTCTGGCATCGACGCCATCAGTCACCACAGCCCAAGCGGCTCCTCCGATGCTAGCGGTGGCTACGGCATCGCCATGGGTGGCCACCCCAATGGCCTAGACTCACCACCCATGTTCAATGGCACGGGGATTGGCGCTGGGTCCTGCCGTAAGCGTTACGACGACTGCGCCAGCGCCATCATGGAGGATTCGCCCACCAAGTGCGAGTACATGCTCAATGCGATCCCCAAGCGGCTGTGCCTGGTGTGCGGGGACATTGCTTCTGGGTATCACTACGGCGTGGCTTCCTGTGAGGCGTGCAAAGCCTTCTTCAAGAGGACTATTCAAGGTATGGTGGGAAGGGAGGGGAAACGGAGACATTCATTCCATAGCAAAAAAGAGAGGTGGTCCCACATATGGCTGACACTTCAGTGTTTCCATACCATATAAAAGGGGGAAAGAGAGGATGACTGTAATGTACCTGATCCTCCATCCTTTTGTGTGCTTGCTCTCTCCTTCCACTCAGCTCTGGTCATTCCAAATCAACCTGGATGTGAAGTTAGGCATTGTGGTGATGGGAACTTTTACCAAGTTCCTAGCCTGACTGGCTACCAGAGCTGTACTTGGCTCTTCACGGGGGTCAGTCCAGAAGGCCAACGCTTCCTTGTCTCCTGTGAAATGAAAGAAATGCATATGTGGGGAGAGCACTCATTTTATTTTTGTTCATTGAATGGGCCTGATTGCACTCTGTCACCAAGGATATCCAACTCTGGAGCAGAGAGAGCAGTAAGGAGTGCAGTTCATCCCAGGTGTCTGCACAATTCATTATTTCTGGCTTAATTTTTTAGATTCTTGATGATTCTCCTTACTATTGTCCAGCTGTGGAAATAATGACTCTGTATTGCCCCACTGACTCTTCCTCTTTTATTATGCTGTGTGGAAAGCGTGGCCATCTCTAGGGCATTGGCCTGTTCCCTGGCAGGGTTTCTGTGATTTGTCATTGCTGAATCTCCGGTGATTGAATGTGAACTTTTACTTGCTCTTCTGACTGTCAGCACTGACTCTGTCCCTCCTCCAGCACTTGGACCCATTCCCAGCGTTTCTTTTTGGCACATTCCGGTGCTAAAGGAGGGACAGGGTAGTACTCTGAAGCAAAGCCCTAGGGGCTTCTTATATAGGAAGAGACTGAAAAACTAACCCCTCAGGAGAGTGATACTGGAGCACCTCTGTGGCAGAATGGAAGAGAGACCTAACCTGGAGAAAAAGGCCTACGAACTGTTGAAGGGTTTTCAGAGAAAATCAGAAGAAAATTAGGCAGGCTGGCAATACCTAAAGTAAGTGTCAGCCTGGCTGATATGTCAGCTCACTTAATCCCAAGAAGGGAGAGCGCTTCTTTCCAACCCCCTCTCCCCAGCACAGCCATATTCTCCCTGTGGTTCCCTAATTGATTGCCTGTTAACGTGTAACAGATGGGGGAGAGGAATAAGTGGAGATTTCTCTCACCCTGTCATCAGCTTGGGCTGGCGACTGAGGTACCAAAATGCTTTTATTCCCAAGAGTGGGAGAGTCGAGTGTGCTGTGCCGGAGGGTGAGCAATTTCAGCTGTGGAGCTGAAGGTTGAGCCCAGGTGAGTGGGCAGCAAGTAGGGCTGTGGAGTTTGGTTGAGTCAAGGAAATGCACTGTTCCCAGGGTTCTGCTGCAGTGCGTGCGATATCTAAGCCCAGCCCTCGTTATACAGGGGAAGAGGGTTTAAAGCTCGTGTAAAAGGGGCAGCAAGTAGCAAAAGCATTTCCAAAAGGTGTTCATCCTGTAACTCTATTATACAAAGTAGATGTGTTAAACATGAACTGAAGAAATGAGAAAATCTTCATCTAGGCTGCTTGACATCGATGTAGGGTCATCAGAAAGCATTCAGGTGTTTATGATGTACAATTGCATTCCCTGCTAGTACCAAAAGGCTTGCCATGATTCTAGTAACTGGGTATGGTGTTGACTGAATGGTTTGAGCACAGAGATGGAGGTATGACCCCAGGATTTTCCAGGTGCTCAGGAGATGCAGTAGGTAAATTCATCATCAGGCTTTTGTGGTCTCAGACCAGCCACTTCATTTCTTTGTGCTTGAGTATTGTAAGATGAAAAACTGTTACAAGAGTACTTAATCTGCTGGCCCTACATTTAGCAACTTTATTATGTAATAGATGTGCATGCTGCTATAAAATGGATCTAAGTCTGTCCTGGATGATTAGACTACCACAGCCCTATCTAGATACCCCTGATAATGAAGCGGAGCTTCTCACTAAGTCCCCCATCCAACTACCTCCCTCCCCTGCTACGAATGACCCCAGTCTGCCTATTGGTGTTTTAAACTGCGTTAACTCATGTAAAACCTGCATGTCTTGAGGCAGGAGGATCTTGCAATAGCTTCTGCGCTCCCCCTGCTGCTGCTACAGCAGTGGAAAGAACAGCCATCCAGGCTGCAGACCTTTTTTAAGCCTGACAGCTTTGCAACTCACTTTCCCCCTTAGCCAGGTGAGCCCAGGCTGCCCTAGACAGCACAAGGGCTGTTGCTTTTCAAGTGATAGGGAAAAGATAGGCTGAAGGCTGGTTATCTCTGAGGTCACTACTATTGTTACGTGGGAGTTTTCCATCAGTAAGATTTTTCCAAAGAAAAACACAATTTTTACCAAGTAAGATTTCCCCAAGGAGAATTTTGATGGTAGGAGAAAAAAAGAAGTCAGGAAAATTCAGACCATTGATTCACTTCAAGCTGAATTGGAGTGTTTGGTTTTGCAGAACTAAGCCACGATCACACAACATACTCTAACCGGAGGCTACACCTGTGACAGAATCACAGAATCATCCAGGTTGGAAAAGACCCTTGGGATCATCGAGTCCAACCATTAACCCTACTTGCAAGTTCACCCCTAGACCATATCATGCAGCACCACATCCAAGCGATGCTTAAACACATCCAGGGATCGTGACTCAACCACCTCCCTGGGCAGCCTGTTCCAATATTCCACAACTCCTTCCACAAAGAACTTCTTCCTAGTGTCTAGTCTAAACC